TGTCATGAATATGAAGGTTTTTTATGCATGTTTATGACATTTGTCATTAAGTGTCATTCACTCAGTTATGTCATTTTTAATGCAAATATGACATTGTTTGACCTAACCCTACCCCTAACCATAGCCCATAACAAAGACATCTCAAACAATGTCATCTTTGCATTAAAAATTACATAACTGAGTGAATGACACTTAATGACAAATGTCATAAACATGCATAAAAAACCTTCATATTCATGACATGTGTCAGGTCATGATTATGTAGGTGTCATGTCAGTCTTATGCACACCCCTTCAAGTAAAGTGTAAAACACAGTTAGACCACAAAAATCTCCTCAAGCTATAAAGACTCCAAATGGTCCAACAATAAATGAGGCTACTGGTATAAATCTTATAACTATGATTCAAACTGCCACTGGAAAACAAGCAAAAACAGTGGGAAAACAATTAAGTACAGCTGGTACAGGCATAACAATAAAATCAAATGTATTAACTACAATTAAATCCATTGTAAATGATTTAAACACCATTTCACCAGAGAGACAGACTGCTAAAGTGTTTGAGAAGTTGACAACTCATCCACACAAGTCTGTATCGCCATGTACAGGTAAATGTCAAACCAAATCTACTACTAAGAAAACTACAGGCAGACGAGGCCAGGACAAGAAGCCCCTGTCGCATAAAACTATTTATTCTGCCATCACTATGGGTAGCATCTTGGTTGTATGTGGCCTTCTAGCTCTTGTTGTGTTTATAAAGGATTTTATTGGGCCCGACTAAAATACTCAATTCAAATGTTGGTTAATTGTTTCATGAGTTGAAATGTAGTATTTGTTTTAAAATGTAAATAAACAACTAATTGAATAAATAACTAATAACTAAACCTGTAATTATTAATTTTGAATAAATAACTAATTCATTATAATGAATTCAGATAATGACTGTTGATTTTTCCCCCCCCAGTATAAGGTGTTAATCGGTTAGTTCACCCAAGATGAAAATTCTGTTAACGTTTACTCACCCTTGGGTCATTCCAAACCCGCATGACTTTCTTTCTTCTGTGGAACCAGTTTCAACTGGTTTTATCCATACAATAGAAGTCAATGGTAATCAGTCAGTGGAAGTCAATGGGAAATATCGGTTACACTTTACTTGAAGGGGTGTGCATAAGACTGACATGACACCTACATAATCATGACCTGACACATGTCATGAATATGAAGGTTTTTTATGCATGTTTATGACATTTGTCATTAAGTGTCATTCACTCAGTTATGTCATTTTTAATGCAAAGATGACATTGTTTGAGATGTCTTTGTTATGGGCTATGGTTAGGGGTAGGGTTAGGTCAAACAATGTCATATTTGCATTAAAAATGACATAACTGAGCGAATGACACTTAATAACAGTTGTCATAAACATGCATAAAACCTCCTTCATATTCATGACATGTGTCATGTCATGATTATGAAGGTGTCATGTCAGTCTTATGCACACCCCTTCAAGTAAAGTGTTACCGAAATATCTTCTTTTGTTTTCCACAAGGTTGATATAATAATGACAGGATTTATATTTTGGCGGAACTGTCCATTTAATGCTTATGAAACAGTAGAAGACACAAATCGCTTGTAATAAGCATTTTTTCCCCTACAATGTTTACATTTAAATTTGACCAGACTCAATAAACAGCTCAAAAAATAGAAAAATGTAACCACAATAAACCTGATCATTGATCAATATTGATCAATACAACTCAATAAAAGATCCTGTACATCTGATGTAGGCTACGTATCATTAAAAATGTGTCTGGCTCAAAACAAGAATGAAGAAAATGACTTGGGTACCTGCTGTGCTCAAAAGTCAACCTACTCTACGAAGATGACGCTGATTGGCGGAATGACTTGTAACAGGTTGGTCAGAGAGCACGCGATTGGTCCTGTGTTAAATCATGGTAGCGAGCTGAACTGATGATGGTTCTTGACCGCAACAATTTTCACGACTCACGGGTGACAATACAGTTTGAAATGTAAAGAAATAGCACGCAATGTAACGGATGAGAATAGTGTAATCTCACCCGTCACTAGTGTGGTCAAAATCTGTTGCTTTGGTAAGCACAACGGAAAGCAACAGATTTGGTCCACACTAGATCACGTGCCCCTGCACGCGACGCTCACGTGGCCTCGTTGGCGCAGTAGGCAGCGCGTCAGTCTCATAATCTGAAGGTCGTGAGTTCGAGCCTCACACGGGGCACAGATTCTTTTAGTCATTAAAACGGCAAATACACTCTCATGTATACACACGAAAACGCCGGAGTAGTGTAAACGACAGGCGTAACCGTAGCAAAAGTTATGCGTTTTAAACCGAAAACGCACTAGTGTAAACGGGGTATAATGACTTTCATCTAACGTTACAGACAGAGAAAGAAACGAACTAGAAATGCTTTGGCAATATAAAGCGTTACGGTTTATATGAAGAAAGTCTTGAACAGTGTTGCCAACTAATTTTCAGGGGAAGTTTCTAAAGGAAGTTCGATTTGTTGCTAAATGACGTTGTGATGTCATTGCGTGATGACGTCATTACGTAATCACGACGCAAAATCGTGTCACTACATTAAAAATATATATTTGTTCATTTAGATTTGTTCGTAAAATAATATAAATGCATAATATAATGTTAAAATATAAATAACTTTTTTATATACAACACTGAATTATTGAACACTTACAAATGTTTTAACGATTACAAGTTTTTTTTTATTAGTTAGTAAACTAGTAAAACTACACATTCTGAACAATTATAGTTTTAAGCAGTGTATTAGTAGTCAGTATGCTACACTCTAAGAAAATAATTCACCGGTTTTTACCTGCATTTTAAATTACGCATTGTATTTTGTGGTTTGGGTTACAACGGATGATGGATAACGAATAATGTCCTGGAAAATGTATAGTACCTTTTCCATTTTTCTAGATATTTTTCTTACAGTGTACTAACTGATCAACAATCACAGGTACAAGCTACGAGGTGTATCATAAATTAACAATTATTATTATTATTATCAAATTGAACGATTGCAAATAGCAGTAACTTAATTCACGTGATGTGTGTACTGCTAGGCATCTTTGGTTTCCTCTTTTTGTGAAATTTAGATGGTAGTCAGTATGCTACACTCTAAGAAAATAATTCACCGGTTTTTACCTGCATTTTAAATTACGCATTGTATTTTGTGGTTTGGGTTACAACGGATGATGGATAACGAATAATGTCCTGGAAAATGTATAGTACCTTTTCCATTTTTCTAGATATTTTTCTTACAGTGTACTAACTGATCAACAATCACAGGTACAAGCTACGAGGTGTATCATAAATTAACAATTATTATTATTATTATCAAATTGAACGATTGCAAATAGCAGTAACTTAATTCACGTGATGTGTGTACTGCTAGGCATCTTTGGTTTCCTCTTTTTGTGAAATTTAGATGGCAAATGTGTGCCTTTTTATTGTTTAAGCCACTTATCAAAAGTTGCTAAAAGTAGCCAAATAAAATTTTAAAATAGCTAAATTTGTTGCTAGGTGCTTTTGGAAGAACAAGTTGCTAGGGTAGTCTGAAAAGTTGCTAAATTTAGCAACAAAATTGCTAAGTTGGCAACACTGGTCTTGAATGTAAGCGTTTTATAAATGTGTCTTCGTGGATGTGTCTGTTTCAGAAAGAAACAATGTTATATTTGTGTTGTTCTACTGCCCCCTAGTGCCAGAAACAAAAAAGATTGTTGTTGATTTTGCCACTAGGCGGAGGCAGAACACCACAGACTTTCAACATTATTAGCATGACCATAATACTGACTCTCTGAGGAAAGAAGTGTGGAATATGAAGAAGACTGTAAACTGACACCAAAACAAGGTGCTTGTATTTTATTTTTTAAACAAGTTCCCTCAATATAGTTACATTTCAGTAATGGTTATGTAAAGCATATTTCCATCTCTGTACACAAGTTATTGACAGCCTGTAAACCAATCACATCATAATGTAATAAATCTAAGAGCTGATCATTTTGTTCATCTTAGCACAAAATAGCATGTGCTATAGTAGCTCTATTACTATTGTTGTTACTTGATTTCTTTCTCTCTTTTAGAAGTGTCTGAGCAGATGATACTACAGCTGGTAGTTGAACGAGTGTAATGATGCAATTTTCAAAGCAGCAGTTCTTACTTAAAGCGAAATTAGACCAGTTTTTGGAACCAAGTAGTTGATATGATTGAGAGTAGACCCAATATTTTGTGTTCAATTAGGTATAATGTCTATAGAAAGATAAACAAGCTGACAAATTTTCCCTCACCGTACAGCCACTGCCATTGTCTTAGTACAATTGGCCCCAATTTCCTACACCAAAACACCCGCTACAGCCTAATTATAATTAATGAAATAAAAAGGACAAATATATAGAGAAAATCAGTCAGCAGCACTAAGCTTTGAGTTTGACTTATTTTTTCTTGTTTATTAATGTATCTTCATTTCTTTGGTATATGCACTTGTGTAGTTATTAGGTCTAGTTTTTTTTCTGTGAAAAATAAACTTGCAGTTCTGTCTCATTAAGAAAGCAAAAAGTATTTAAGAAGCTGAAAACTTTTTTTTTCATTCTGTTTCAGTACAACATTTTTGCACAATTTAAATGGTTCAGAAAACCAAAATCATCACTGGCATCTTTGTCAATGACTAACTTCATATAAAAGCGATAAGGTTCTCAGTGCAACCAAAGAAAGATGACAACGGTTGCATTATCACATAAAGAAAACAATGTACAAAGCAAATTAATAGAACAAAACACTATCCATGGTGAACAACAAACAGACATCAATACAAACAAAGAAATATCACAATAATCAAATGATCGTTGCTATCAAACTGAAAGAGGGCAGAAACCAATAAGAAAAAAAAGACTTGAAAGTCTTACAAATTTAAATCTTAAAAAAGAAGAAAAATTAAGAAATACAGAAAAAATACAATATTTAACAAAATATTGAGCTATAATAAAGTTAACCAAAACGTGCTGAGCAGCAACATAATTACAAAAAAAATGAACCCACTTAAGTTAGAAGACACATTTCATCCAATGACAATCCCTCATCCAGCAACAAACACATTTTCAATTGGGTGCAAACAGATATGAATAAAAGTATACAATAAAAGCAACATCTTAATATTTCAGAAGTTAATGATTCATTCCCAACATAAGGACATAACAGGAAATGAGAATGCGAAACATGAAATGTTTTTTTGTGTGTGTTTATGGGTAAATGTTCATAATTGCAGTTATACTAGATTTGACGATGTGTATTAGTGGTGGCATCTGAATTTTTCTGTATGTACATGAGAGCGAGTGTGGGCTGTTGAAGCGTTAACTGTGTGGATGAGTTGCAGTGCTGCTACTGAGCCCTAGCACGTATACACACGTTTGGTCGGCGTGCCACTACAAATCCGAGTTTACAGTGACATTTGAATGAACCGAGGGTGTTAATACAGCGTGCATTCTTGCAGGGACTCTGCCCTGTCCCTCGGCCCGCACACTCATCGATATCTAGAGGAAGAAAGAGAGAAAAAGCCTCAAAATATGTCTATCCATACACTTACAAATGATGAAATATGTCGACTTCAGGAACATGACCTTAATGATTATGTGTGGGTGTGTTTGAGGATCTGCATTCATACTCACCTATACAGCGTGTTCGCGAGTGGTCCAGTACAAATCCAGTATTGCACTCGCACATCGTACCCAGATAGGAGCGCACGCACCGTCCATTAGCACAGCTACACTCGTCTGAGTCTTCCTCTGAACTGTCTCCCTCTGAACAAGTGAGAGTGACAGAAAGAGTCATGAATAACTCAGCCAGTTCTGAGTCTTTCTATTTAGCGCAAGGTGAATAACACTGGCAAGGTCACCTGGGTTGTAATTGGAGAGAATTGCCAGGAAGTCCCCCTCTCCGTCAGACTCAGTCTCCAAATGCATCTCACACAACCTGTTAAAAAGCACTGCACAGTGCACACACCGAAACAGAATAAAGGAAAGTTATGTTTGATATTTCATTTCATCTTAGTACATCTCAATTTCATCCTTTTCTACCTGATTTGCTAATGTAAAAAAGAAAATTCAACACTGACAAATGTTTTTTTCTCTTACGTTCATTAAAAAAAAGTTTGAGTAAGATGTTTTTTTTTAAAGAATTTAATACTTTTATTCAGCAAGGATGCATTAAATTGATCAAAAGTAACAGTAAATACTTGAAATGAAATTCAAATTGAAAAACCATTAAGAATATTTTACAATAGTACTGTTTTTCTGTATTTTTGATCAAATATATGCAGCCTTTTTTTGCGATACCTGAATTTCTATTTGGACAGGTCCGGCACTCTGGGCCCCAGCCTCGACCGTAGTGACAGCAGCACTCGGAGTACGTCACCGTTAGCTCATTTTGTGGCATAGTGCACATAAGATCCTCATCAACCTCCTGGAAACATATGTCCTTATGTGCTGCAGTGCGGTCTGAGAAAGACAGAGATAAGCAGATGATGGAGGACACGAAAAAAGAAACAAAATACATAGAGGTTTCACAGAAGAAATGGCAAAGTAGATGGAAACAAAGTCAACTCCAAAGCTAACACTGCTAAAACACCTTTAATGGTCCATGCTCAGCAGTCAAGTGGAAAACTGAGGTTCAGAGCAATAACTTATGGACTGTCAAAAAAAAACAGTTTCCACCAATCACTTGTGATACCCACCATCATAGACGCATTGCTTGAGGGCTGCACTGAAGGTGTGTGGCTGCTTGCAAATGCAGTGGAAGGAGCCGGGAGTGTTGACACATCTCCCGTTCCTACAGTAGGAGGGATCTTCACACTCATTCACATCTGAAAGGTGCACCACAGACACACCCGTTACTAAAGAGATATACAGAGAGAAGGACAGATAGAGAGAGAAAAGCAGGAGGGAGGAAGACAAGGAGAGAGACATCAGAAGCACACAGTCTTGGGTGAGAACTTCGATAAATGCCTGGAGTTATTTCATCTTTACTAGTCCAGGAAGAGCAGTTGAATTTCTTAGGAAATTAATAGCCCAGCACATTTTGTGCCATAATAAAACAGACCTTCTGTACATTACATTATAAGAACTCATGCCATTTTTTTATTAGGACTGTGATGTTCCCGTAAAACTATACTCACCCGCCTGCTCCTCAAGTGTGACACAGCTGTTACGGTCGGTTGCCAGAATCCAGGGAGGAGTGCAGATGCAATAATAGGAATCTTGGGTGTTTACACAGTGGCCATTTTTGCAATTAGCAAGGTCCAGACATTCATCCACACCTGAAGCAAAAAATGTTACATCAGTAACACTATTTTTTAAATAAATCAAAAATACATTGGCTAGTGGCTACCGTTCAAAGGTTTGGGGTCTTCTTTTGCTCACCAAGGCTTATTAAATTTTACATGTTACATTTATTTAAAAAAATGTGAAAAATGTGAAATATTAGTAGAATAAAAAAGAAAAACGGTTAAAAACTGCTTAAAATGTTATTTATTCCATCTCTGCCATTACTACAGTCTTCAGTGTCACATGATCATTCAGAAATTATTCTGATATGCTGATATGATACTTAAGAAACATTCTTATTATGTAAACAGTGGTGCTGTGTAACATTTTTTAGAAAACAATTTTTTCGGGGATTCTTTAAGAAATAAACATTTCAAAAGAACAGAATTGATTTAAAACAAATAATTGGTAACATTATAAATTTCCCTAAAACACCATGCTTTAAAAGTGGTGTGCTATCACCCTTCCTATGTAATCAAAATCAGTCAAAACATGTAATGTTACGTGACTGACGTTATATGTAGTCTCCTGCCGGATACGGAAAAAACCCCAGCTAAAAACGCACTGAGCTAGGAAAAAGACATTGTTTCCCAGACGACTTTCTGCATGAGCATTCCGAGGCGGTACAAAACACAAACAACTGGGCTACTTTGGGCTTCAGATGTGGGCTTAAATGGACTAATACACACAAAAATGTTAAGAGTGAATCATTCAGTGCTCTTCACTGAATAACTTTCGTAACTTATAAGAATCAATATATATTTAATTAATATGGTGATGACTATGCAGTGTTTTATTTACGTTTGATTATCTTATTCAATTTCTGTACAGTAGACTATTATTTTTAGTAGGCTAAATTGTTTATTTCATTTGTATCCATAAAGGTTAAAGGTCCTTTTGGGGTTTTTATGAACACACTGATAGGGCCCCCTTTACAGATACATTATGTGTAAGAAACATGTAGCTGTGTCACTACATAAAGCAAATGCAGGCCACAGCCTCGTTGGCGCAGTAGGCAGCGCGTCAGTCTCATAATCTGAAGGTCGTGAGTTCGAGCCTCACACGGGGCAGAAACTTTTAGGCAGAGGCGGACTTACCCATTAGGCAAAAGTAGGCGACCGCCTTGGGCCCCTAAAAGCCAAGGGCCCCCTAAAATGCTTTTCATATTCAAGATGTGCATTAATCGCGGACATGTGAACGGTTGTTGTTCACGGTTTTTATTACCATGACAAATGTCTGCGTGTGTGAGTTGAATGTGCTTCTAGTGTATACTGCTTGTAGCAAATGAAAATATCATGCATATGAGGCTGTAATTAAATATTGAGCAACAGTGTGTATTATATGTTTATCATTTTAAATGCCGCTTACTCATTTATGAGAAGGACCCAAGTAGAGGACGCATACAGTTACTTTTTTTGGTTGATATAATCCTTGGGGGTGTGTATAATTTCCTTTTCTTTATTTTTTTCAGTTTCATTTAAATGTGTAGTTAAAATAACTACAAATAAATGTATTTTAAAGTTTAGAATTAGACAGCCTTTGGAAAGTGTATGAGCCCAGGCACACAGGCTACCGCTGGTAACTCATCAGTGAACTTTTTATATGAATGAATCTCTGTAGGGAACCGACTGTCTTCCGCTGGCATTTTCATTTGATTTGATAAAGCAGCCTTTATGAACGCAGTGCTGCTTTGCTTACAGCCGTTACCGGGGAAAATGCTATATTTCTGCCGCTCCGAAAGCCCCTCCTGCTGGCAGAGAATGAATGTGCATTTTCAATAATCCCATCTGCAGATTTTGTTCAGACCAATTCGAAAATCCACCCACATAACCCCGTTTTTAATCAATATAATAATTTAAACTTCAGACTCATCCCTTTTCTTTAAAAAAATGGTTTAAAGGCTCAATTGTGAGGTTTATCATTTTATAATTTATTTTGTTTTTGTGAAAACCTGTATCTCAACTATTAATCAATTGCTATTTTGTGGTCTAAAACATGAAAGAAAGCCATTATAACATGTAGATGAAAAATGTAGAAACACTGGACACAACTATGGGGCACCATTAAGCAGCAGCATCACAACAAAAAAGGAACCTCAAGGTTGTTCTAGGTAAATGTGTGCAAATGTATAGGGCCCCATTCCTACATTTTGCCTGGGGCCCCCAATTCACTAAATCCACCCCTGCTTTTAGGGTCGCTTTTAGGGCTGTAACGATTCACTTGTTTTCTCGATGCATCGATTACAAACCCTGACGATGCAATGCATCGATCTTGAAACATGATTTCAAACGTAATCGATTTAAAAACGCTAAGAATCGAATGAATTGCGATTTCTATAGCGATTCAAAGCTTTCAAAATATATACACATTAAATTACTACAAGCACGAATGAATGGAGACCTTGAACAGTGTTCGTGCCCTCGCATCTCTCCTTAACGCACTCCACTATTTATGCCTGCATTCGTCTCACTGACGCAGCTGATGTGTGATCTCTCCTTTGCCTACTCGTGGCCAGTAATGTTAAAGTGAAGTAGTTTTACTTTTATGTAGTTTTTCAATGGCTCTCGGTCATACCGACGACATTACCTGAGCAGTAGAAGGCTGCATTTATTGCATGGACGGAGCAAAAAATGTAAGTGTCTAAAGCATACGCACAGTTCCATTGAATGAGAAATGTGTTTTAACAATGTCGTTGAACCGAATGTACGAAGGAAACCGTTAAAATAACCACAGCATTAACAACGACCTTGAAATAAGAGCGCAAGGTTTATCTGAATCAGATGCATGAAAGTAGCGCTTGTTGCTATAGCAGGCGCGTTTTCTTTCAGGATCATCATTCGCTGACGGAGAGGAAAAGTTAAATACTATAGCATTTTATTTTATGAAAATGAGATAAAGAAGTTTTCGCCCTGAAAGAGAAGTGATCTCGTGCTCATAGAACTTAAGACGTGCCAGGCTATATCTGTAGCTAATCTGAATAAAAAGCAGAATGAACTGAAACTTTAAGACAATAAATAAATACAATTTATGAATGATGCAGTGCTAATTGACATATAATTTATTACAGTACAGAAACTATAAAGTATATTTTCTACCTTATTCTGTGCAGAAAATTTAAATAACTGTTTGTAGTATAAACAATCATAAAATTGCCATTAGGAAAAAATTATAGATTACAAATGATTGATTATTGTCCAGCAGTGTATTTGATTTCTTATAGCAAATTCAAAGTAATAGATAAGAAAAGAATTCCTTGTAAAAAAATTTATAAATAATAATAATAATAATAATAATACATACATACATAAAATTATGGTATTTGACATTTCTATCACTTCTGAAATGAAGGCTACGTCCCTGGTGTGACAAAATGTTAAGCCTATACATAATACTTTTAAAGCTCTTTTTTAAAATCTTGGCTTACATACATTTTTACGTATGCCATGTCATGCCATAGCATCATTAATCTAGCATCTAACAATGGACAAAAGTGTTTTTTTTCTCTAACCTATGGTTCTGGCTGCTGTGTAGTTTGCCCCCTGACTAAGCATTTAAAGAATTTAGGGTAAGAATTTAAATAATCCTGTGAATGCACTTAAAGAATGCAGAATCGAATCATTAATCGAATCAAATCAAATTTAAATGTGAATTGAATCGAATCGTTCTAAATTTGCAAAAATTGTTCTTGAATCGAATCGAAAACCTATGAATCGTGAATCGAATCGATGAATCGCTGTCTACCCAAAGATTCACAGCCCTAGTCGCTTTACTACCAAGTGTGACACACTTGATTATAAACACATACCTGTAACTGTGGGAAAGACACACTTCTTGTTAGAGGCATCAGGGACCCAGGGTGGGTTGCAGGTGCAGTAGAATGACCCTCGGGTGTTCACACAATATCCGTTGGTACACAGGGACTCGTCATGACATTCATCCACATCTACAGGGGGAAAGAGACACAAAATACTATTAAGGAATTTTACAATGCATTTGAGTTTGACAAATATGAAAGATGAAGGTTTATTGATGTGTTGGTATGTCAAATGGGGTGCTGTACCGGTGTTATTCTACTGCTCCCTAGTGGCTGACACAAAAAAAATCCTTCTTTCTGCCACTAGCGGGCAGTACAGCAGCACAGAAAATCTTTCCTGTTCAATATCAGTATCATACTGGTTTTCTGAAAAATGCTTTTAATTTTATTTTTGGTGGTTTTGAAAAATAATCTAATATAATAACGACTGCTTGAACCACAGCAAAATTCTAAATTATATAGCCCATTACAATGCATGACAAAAATAACAACACATAAGATTTACAATTATTTAATAATTTATCAAAAATGTATTTTTTTTAATTGTATTTGCAAACAAATCATGGCATTGTACAAAATATTGTACTTTTACACAAAACTGTTCCAAAGTTTGTTAATATTTTTTAAATAAATCTTTTATACGCACCAAAGCAGCATTTAAACAATAAAACAGTAATATTGTGAAATATTGCAATTTCTTTTCAAATAACTCTTTTCTATTTGAACATATTTTAAAATGTAGTTTATCCCTGTGATGGTAAAGCTGAATTTTCAGAAGCCATTACTCCAGACGTCAGTGTCACGTGATCCTTCAGAAATCATTCTAACTTCTGGAAAGATCATTGACTGCTTTAATGCGAGTATAAAAGAGCACGAGTGCCGTTGACGTGCCCAGACGCGACGCTTTGAATTTGCGCGTACAATGAATGACATTGCGTCGGGAGCTGACTAGCAAAAAAGTAAAAGCCGAGAAGTTTGTATTCAAACTTAAAAAGCAAACAAACTAGATTTTTTTTTTTAATGTTTCAACTAAAAGATCTCAGGTGTATCGTCTAAATTCTGCTGATGATTACATTACTGCTCTAACATAACACTTATAATTTCAGTTTCAACTAACTAGAAAATAACTTTTTCTGCTTAGTAGTGATTGTGTCTTTCTCTTCCACTTGATTTGTGTGTATATATATCATATTTAAGGTAACAATGCAATACATTATCATATAATTGATATTAATAATATGACAATATCTGTAGTCAATATTGATCAAATGGGAGGGGGAAATCCTGCACATACCGAGCTAGGGGGAAAAATCATAAAGGCACTTATGTTCATCTACTGAAGTGGTATTCTGGAACTGTGAATAACTTGAATAAAACAGCAAAATAATAATAACAACAACAACAACATTTTATCAAACAAAAAAGAGATTAGATAAAGTTTGATTGATATGTACATACAGTACCGGTCAAAAGTATGGACCCATTCAAATTTTTTAAAATGTTTTTGAAATAAATTTCTTATGCTCATCAAGCCTGCATATATTTGATCAAAAATACAGAACAAATCAGTAATATTTAGCAAGGATATGTTAAATAGATAAAAAGTGATAGTAAAGAGACTAAACACATCCTTCAGGTGCTGAAGCAAAAGGCTAAATAGGCACGCAAAGAAGTATAGGTCCTAATGTAGGTGTGTGAGTTGTCATCATTCTAAATATAAACTTGTTCTGTCGATCAGTGTAATTTCTGGAAAGATCATTGACTGCTTTAATACGAGTATAAAAGAGCACGAGCGCCGTTGACGTGCCCAGACGCGACGCTTTGAATTTGCGCGTACAATGAATGACATTGCGTCGGGAGCTGACTAGCAAAAAAGTAAAAGCCGAGAAGTTTGTATTCAAAGTTAAAAAGCAAACAAACTAGAATTTTTTTTTTAAATGTTTCAACTAAAAGATCTCAGGTGTATCGTCTAAATTCTGCTGATGATTACATTACTGCTCTAACATAACACTTATAATTTCAGTTTCAACTAACTAGAAAATAACTTTTTTCTGCTTAGTAGTGATTGTGTCTTTCTCTTCCACTTGATTTGTGTGTATATATATCATATTTAAGGTAACAATGCAATACATTATCATATAATTGATATTAATAATATGACAATATCTGTAGTCAATATTGATCAAATGGGAGGGGGAAATCCTGCACATACCGAGCTAGGGGGAAAAATCATAAAGGCACTTATGTTCATCTACTGAAGTGGTATTCTGGAACTGTGAATAACTTGAATAAAACAGCAAAATAATAATAACAACAACAACAACATTTTATCAAACAAAAAAGAGATTAGATAAAGTTTGATTGATATGTACATACAGTACCGGTCAAAAGTATGGACCCATTCAAATTTTTTAAAATGTTTTTGAAATAAATTTCTTATGCTCATCAAGCCTGCATATATTTGATCAAAAATACAGAACAAATCAGTAATATTTAGCAAGGATATGTTAAATAGATAAAAAGTGATAGTAAAGAGACTTATATTTTTATAAAAGATTAATATTTGTTTTTTTGTAAACAACTTTTTAATAATTAAAAATCCTGAAAAAAGTATCACAGTTTATAAAATAAACATTAAGCACTGTTTGTAACACTGATAATAAATCAACATATTAGAATGATTTATGTAGGATCATGTGACACAGATCTGACTGGACTGGAGTAATGGCTGATGAAAATTCAGCTTTCCATCACAGAAATATATTTTAAAGTATAGTAAAATAGAAAAACATTATTTTAAATTGTAATAATATTTCACAATATTATTGTTTTTTTCTGTATTTTTGATCAAATAAATCCAGGCTTGATGAGCATAAGATACTTCTTTCAAAAACATTAAAAATAGTAATGTATCCTAACTTTTGTACTGTATAAGTAAAAATATGCCAAATTAAATGTTGAAAATTAATTTTGCCTAGGGCCTTCTAATGTCTAGAACTGGCCCTGTGGTGATGTAAAAAGTGTGAAATCCCATACCCTGGCATCGGCGCCCACTGACGGGCATGTATCCTTTTTGGCACTCGCAGCGGTAAGAGCCCATCGTATTGATACAGCGTCCTCGCTGACAGTTGGAAGCTCGCTCACACTCATTAATATCTAAAGAGATCAAAAATATTCGTACTGATTCACGTATGGTGTGCATTAGTGAATCGTTTCAGCTGTATTAGAAGGGTTACAAAAGATATATGCTCACTATCATTCAAAAGTTCACTAGGTTTTTCCCCCCAAATAAAATGAATCCGTTTATTGAACAAGGATGCACTAAATTTATCAAAATGGACATTTATCATGTTAAAGGGATAGTTCACCAAAAAAACCCCAAAATTTTGGTATCATTTACTCAAACTCATTTCGTTCCAAACCTGTTGAACATAAAAAGATATTTTGAAGAACGCTGGAAATCAAACAGTTGATGGTCCCCATTGACTTCCAAAGTATTTCTTTCCCTACAATGGAAGTCAATGGGGACCAGCAAATATTTGGTTCTTCAAAATTTGTCAAAATATCTTCTTTTAAGAAAGAAACGTATACAGGTTTGGAACGACATGAGGGTGAGTAAACAATGACAAAATTTGCATTTTTGGGTGAACAAGATGAATAAAAATTGGGTGAAAAAGATTTTTAAAATATATTTAAACTGAAAATAGTTATTTTAAATTGTAATAATATTTCCAAAATGTACTGTTTCTATTGTTTAAATAAATGCATACTTGTTGAGCATAAAACACTTCATTCGGACTTTTATATTTTAGACCACATAAATGTTTAACTATTGTAAATGTTTGTTATACAGAAGGATATTTTTGATCCTGAATGCTGATTGGTCAGTACTGTGTTCTGGCCATGCTAAAGACTGGAATATACTACACAACTTTTTAATATCTGAAGAGATTTTAAAACACTATGCATCATACAATGGCTGAATTTTAAAATGGTAACCAAGAAAAACTGTGCATTATACACTAAACGTCACCACCAGATCACAATACCAGACTTTCAAGTCACTCTGAACACAGCAATCTCCTGCAGAAACATGTGCCTAGGAAATGTATGACAAATGAAAACGATATGTGCTCTACAATTGGCATGCTTCAACCATGCTTCATATCCCTCAAATGGATGGAATCATACACTATGTGGTTTTCTGTGAAAATTCCATCTACCCAAAATCTGCAGACTTAAATTGAAAATGTCTGTAGTGTCTGTATGACTAAAAAAAAAATAAAAAAATAAAAAAAATCTCTCTCTTTATTTATTCCTTCTCTTTCTAGCTTGTACTTATTTGAACAATGTCTAAGAACTTGGTATTACAACCACTTCTTGTGTCTGTTTGCCTCTTTAAGAAGAATCGCTTTATGTATCCCCCAATTGTAAGTCGCTTTGGATAAAAGTGTCTGCTAAATGACTAAATGACTAAATGTAGTGCATTACAGCCCCTATACAATTTGTACTGTAGTATACAGATATTGCAGTATTATGTGCAGTATTAAGTTCATGAGACTCGCAGCGTTGGGTTAGTAATTACTAGCTGACCTTCGCAGTGGCTTCCCTCTTGTGTAGGCTGGTAACCAGTGTAACACTGGCAGCTGAATGATCCCTGAGTGTTAATGCAGTGACCGTTAGCACACAGACGGTTATCCTGACACTCATTGATGTCTGTGGAGAGACGAACAGACACATAACTTTCAAGAACATATACACGTGCTCAATTCTGTTTACATAAATGTCGAAAAGTTGTGTTTGCACAGTATATTTATTCTCTTTAGAATTCCCTTGTGCAGGAAGTAATAAAATATAATTTAAAACCATTCTGAACGGCAAGATTAAGTTTCCATTAACCAACATGTTGTTTAGTTTTATTGGCTGTGTGCCACTGACCTCTGCAGCCTTTGCTGTCAGTCTCAGGCAGGAAGCCCTCATTACACAGACATCGATATGATCCTGCCAAGTTCTCACAACGGCCATTCAGACAAACACCACGCTTCTGACACTCATTGACATCTAATAGAGAGAGAGAGAGAGAGAGAGAGAGACAGACATATCTTGTAAGATTACGCAATTGTCAACTTTATTTGTCAAAACACCCCACACTCATCACATTTTCTACAATCCCAGCTGGGTAGTATCTGACTACATGTAATCTGGATTAAGTAATTAAATTAAAATATTAAGTACTTGTAATTTCATTACATTACATTTTAAAATACTTGTAATCAGACTACAGTTACTTTTTTATTGATGACATGATTACATATTATTAACACAATAACCATAAATTATTCATAATTTATTGAATCCTCCTGATATTCCTCTTTTTCATCTTTTGAATGTTCCTTTTTAAAATAGTCTACTGCTTATATACAATCAGAAATTCCAGTTTTGTGGATATTCACACAAAGACCAGTCACTAGGTGGCTACACTGCATTTGACCACTGGATTTACAAAAATTATTGCAGGTTTAAAAAGTGTTTCACCATTGCATCATACTATGACCATTATTTGACCACGTATTACTGTGACTTTAATCTTTTAAACACATTAAAATGCACAAATTCACATTACTATGTTTTTTTTCATGGATTCCCAAACTTTTTTTGTCATCTGAGTGCCTTTCACCTAATATATTTATTTGAAGTATTCCTGAGATTTTAAAATAATATTTTAATAATTAAGTAACACATTTGCATGTTCAAATTTCTCTGATGTTGGTTAATGATCACATGACATGCAGGTAGATGTAAAATATTTTTAATATATATTTTTTTATTTTGAGTTTTATTGGGTTTATTTTGATCGTAGTTTATTTTAATTTTACAGTTTTATGATTTAATTAATTATTAGCGTTTTGTTAAACTCACAAACCCACTGCAGTTCCTTTACGAACCCGTTTGGAAAACCTTTACATAATGTAATGTTTAATGCACTTAATGTTGTTAATCACAACGAATGGAATATATTTTCAAACTCTTTGTATTTTTTATCAATATGGTACAAGATTGTACTACTTAAATCTATTTGATAAACGAGTTAGGTCAAAAGTAATCTAAAAGTAATCAAAAAGTAGTCTGATTATTTTACCACAAATGTGTAATGTAATGGATTACGCTACTAACTAGAATTTTTGTCATGTTTTTTGGAATGGATTACAGCCTACATTGTGCTTCTCATCTGGTGTGAAAAAATTTCTATGATTTTTAATGCCTTTGAAATAAGTTTTTTATGCGAATCCAGGCTGCATTTATTTGATCAAAAATACAGTAAAAACAGTAATATTGTAAAATATTATTACAATATTATTACAAAGAGAATTATAATTACTGAATAGTAGTGTACATGTTTTTCCATGACCAATATCTAGAGAGCAGCTTGGCCAATAGATAAAAATAATAATATATAATAAAAATATAATGACAGTAAATGGCATGCACAAAGGGGAGTGAAAAGAGAGTTGTTTTGGTTTAGTCATGAAATGTCTGGAAGTCTGTGCGAGGAGCTGATGGTAGTCGGACTGGCCTTAGCCCTATATTTCTAAGAATGTGAACTAAACTGTTTGTGAGTGGTTACACGTTTGTCTCTGTATGTGTGTAAGTATTCAGACCGTAACACACTCCTCCCTGTGCTTGGTATCCAGGTTGGCAGGGTATACACTCATAGGATCCAACAGTATTCTCACACTGTTCGTTAGGACAGATACTCGGGTCCGAACATTCATTAATGTCTGCATTTGAAAGACAGCAACAGCATAGACAATGAGACTCTCACAAATCTTCACCGACATTTAAATACACTGCTAATAAAAAACAGAATAAACCATATTGGATGAACATGAACTGTTTATAGGTGTCTATAATTAACATTAATTAGGTGTTTTGTGCCTATGCATAGTATGGGTGGGTGTCCTCACCTTCACAGAGAGGTTGTCTGCGTGATTTGCTCCGGAAGCCCGGCAGACACTCACACTTATAGGATCCATGCAAATTAGTGCAATGCCCTCCAACTCCGCAGATATCAGGCTTAGAGCACTCGTTTACATCTGAAAACATGCATCCAAACAAGTGTTAGCCATCTGTATTGATACTCGCATATATACAGTATAGTAGCTGTCCACTGCCTTTGAATAGACAATGCTGGTCACTTACCAATACATCTGCGTTTCCCATGATGCACCACAGGTTTGTAGCCATTGTAACAGTTGCATCTGTAGGAACCCACGGTGTTAATGCAGGTGCCTCTACCACATGGCTCCGAGTCACATTCATTTTCATCTACAGAAAGAGTGAGAACATTGTATATATTTTTATGTTATCTTTATTGTGTAATATAGTTGTCTTATATAGTACTTTCATTAAACATTATACACTACCATTCAATTACTATACCATTCTATTTAAAATAAATGCTGTTCTTTTGAACTTTCTATTGATTAAAGAATCCTGAAAAATGGGTCATGGTTTCCACAAAAATATTAAGCAGCACAACTGATATAAGAAGACATTTTTCTTGAGCACCAAATCAACATGATCATGTGACACTTAAGACTAAAGTAAAGGCAGCTGAAAATTCAGCTGTGCCATTACAGGAGTAAATTACATTTTAAAATCTATTCAAATAAAAAACAGTTATTTTAAACGGTAATAATATTTTGCAGTATTACTGTTTTTACTTTAAAAAAACAGTAACTACCAACCCCAAACTTTTAAATGGTAGTGTATAATATTTTATGCACTACAAATGCAGGCATTTAATTCAGAGTACATCCATCTGTGATTTCATTGTTTGTAAAGTATGTTTGTGTATTTACATGTGTGTACTCACCCACACAACTCTTTCTCTGTGCATGTGGTCGATATCCAGTGTAACAGTGGCACATGAAACCATTTGGCATGTTCACACACTCTCCATGGCCGCATATATTTCTGTTCAGCTTGCAGTCATCCATTGCTGTGATACCCAAACCCAAAGAAAAAATCCATAATTGTAAAAAAAAACCTTTTTCCTTATTAAATTACCAAACAGAACTTTGCATAGACCAATACTGCAGATTTAACTGACAAGCTGTCACGGAACTCACGTGAAACCTGCGTCTGGGCCACTTCATGTGAATCACTCTCTGGAGGCACATGGACTATGGGAGGAGTTGTTGGCCTGGCCACAATGACTAAAGAGACAGAAGCAAAAATGGAGAGGTACAGTGGGTACGGAAAGTATTCAGACCCCCTTAAATTTTTCACTCTTTGTTATATTGCAGCCATTTAAAAGACACATTTTGAAAAGAAATAAATGTTTAAATGTTTGTGAGTAAATGAAAAAAGAAATGCAGATAATTAATGCTATGGATACAACATTTTTCATTTTGAGTTGATATTTGCACTACCATGTGAGCTATGGAGAAAAACATCGCTACATTTTGTAAAGTGTACCTGGGTGGCGTGGCCCGTGTGTGCTGATTGGTGAGAGCTGCATGGGCGTGGTCGTCTGAATTGGGATTTCCTGTTGGCATGAAAGCAAAATCAATTAAGTTAACTGTCTACAGCTGATCTCCCATAATTATATTTATTAAAACCGTGGCTTCTGTCAAGATTTCTGTCAAAGATGACTTTTGGCTTTCATTCTTCCCTCGATTGGTAGTTTAGGCACAGAACCAGAATCTTACCGGAGACTTGACCTCTGAAACACAAACACAAAGATACAATGAATAATCAGTCAATAAAAAATACAGCAATCAATCTTAAAGAATCTTTATCTCAGAACTGATTCAAATGTCTGTACCAGTGTCAGGATTAATGTGTTTAATACTGGTCAGGAAGGGCTGAATGGACAGAGTGCCATGATAGGTCAGGAAAGACATCCCCTTTCCCGCTGGACAGATCTTATTAAAGGAAGCTAGAGATCGAGCGAGAGAGAAAGAAGAATTAGAGAGAGAAAGACCAAAGATTATTTAGTCAAAGGGTCAAAACCTTCTTTAAAGATACAGACATATGTTCACAACAGGATTGGGCAAAATTCAGAATTGAAGAATTGACTCCATTTCAGTTTATGAGCTAGAATTTTAATTTAGTTGGCAAAAAAGAAGTTGAATCGGAATTTGAATTTGAATGACAAGAGGAGGAATTTACTGGATTGAAATACTAAGAAATTCAACATAGGTAATTAATTCTGGGAAATTAAGTGTTCTTCCACTCTGGTCAACAAAAGTTAATTAGTTAAATATGATAAAACAAACTAAATACAAAATGTCTATAGGTAGCTTTTTAAACATCTCTTAAATATTTAAACGTTAAAGTTCAAAACAAGGTTTTTAAAAAATATTTTTCTTGTTTAAAATGAATTTATTCAAATTTTAAAGTCATTTTAATTCTACTTCTCTACATTCAAATTTGAATTGTAATTCTGCATTCCGTTTGCTACCTTCATATTAAATTCAAATTCAGGAACTGAATTAGAATTTAAAAGGCAATCAATTCTGAATGGTGCGCATCCCCCACTCAAAAGGCACACTCACCTGTCCCATCCTGTGGGCATCTCTCGCAGTTGCTTCCCCATGCCTTACCCACAGTGCAGCAGCAGATCTCCTGGGAAAGGCGTGTTGGAAGAGCATGCTCACATTTCCCTGCTTCCATAACCATAAGATAACAGAGCCCCTGCTCAACTGTTGCTGTTGATGCTAAGAGAGTAAAAAGATCTTTATGATAGTTTGTTGACCATTCTGTATTTAGTGTTATATGCAAGTTTGCACACACATTTATGTCTTACCAACACAGCGTGTCCTTTCTGTCAGTACATAACCAGGTTTGCAGGTGCAGCGGAAACTTCCCTGTGTGTTTAAACATTCTCCATTCTGACACAGTCCCTGCATCATACATTCATTTATGTCTAAGGCAGAGAAAGGAAAAAAATGCACAAGAAAAAAGTCATGAAAAATATGTTAAAAAAAACTAAATTTTTTTTTTAAAATTTAAATAATTTTTGGTCCTGTATGAGTAAAATTACTGGAAAAAAAGTAACAAAAAAAAGTACTGGAAAAAAGGAAATCGGTTTAGGATCAGGGTGAATGTTTCTGCTCATGGGCAAAATTTAAGATGGTCTAACATTGCCTAGAATGGTTAAAAGACTATCCTTCAAAGAAATCAAGTCTTCAATTTGTTCAGTCTTCCTTTGTTGGGTCTACTCATTGTGTACGTTTTCCTTGTGCTCTGTGTCTCCCTGTTGGATTATTAAAGACTCTCGTTTTGTGAAATCTCCACGTCTCCTCATTTCCTCGTTCCGGTGCTCCAGCGAATTGTGACAGAAGACCCGACCTAATACAGTTACCTCCGTGTGTTCCCTCCGTTTTTGTTTCCGTTGTTTCTATGGATCCCCTCTCCCGTCCGGAATACCACCTCCTCCTGCTGGAGCAGGGGGAGAGATTGCTCGAGGGCCATACCAGACTGTTCCTGGTCATCGCTGCTCTAACCAGCTGACCAGATGACGCGCTCTGTACGTTCTACGACGCCAGTTTGAACATCTCGTGCAGAGCGCTGTCGTCCGAAGATGGTCCTCGAGCGAATTTCGCCGCCTTTGTGGAGGGGACACTGGGGAGAAATGGATCTCTGTTCCCCGCCTGTTCCCAGGAGAATCTCACCAGTTCCACTCCCGACCCAGTGCCCAGCCCACTATCTCCCCGATGCGCGGAGCGTATGCCCGAGCCCACCGCTGAGGGAGAGCCGGAGCCCGCCATGCCCGATGAGCCATCACCGCAAATGATGTCAGTCAAGGTGTATGAACCAGCAACAACGCCCGCCGCGAGGGAGAAAGCCGCGGACGGTGTGAGCGCTGAGAGGAGCTCCGCCCCCTGCACCGTGGCTGAGGGTGAGCTGTGTATGGCGAGGCGACTGTGTCACACCGAAGAGGAGAGTGCTCCCATTCCTAAGTTCTGGCCTGAAAGCCCGGAGGCTTACAAATGCCCGCCCTCCCACCCTCCCGGCAGGGAAACACCCTGGATGGATGGCCAGTCCATCACAGGGCAACATATAACTTGATAAATAATAGGGCTGGGACGATACGCTAATCTGCCGAGGGCCATACCAGACTGTTCCTGGTCATCGCTGCTCTAACCAGCTACCCAGATGACGCGCTCTGTACGTTCTACGACGCCAGTTTGAACATCTCGTGCAGAGCGCTGTCGTCCGAAGATGGTCCTCGAGCGAATTTCGCCGCCTTTGTGGAGGGGACACTGGGGAGAAATGGATCTCTGTTCCCCGCCTGTTCCCAGGAGAATCTCACCAGTTCCACTCCCGACCCAGTGCCCAGCCCACTATCTCCCCGATGCGCGGAGCGTATGCCCGAGCCCACCGCTGAGGGAGAGCTGTCTGGCAGCCCCTCTGCTCGCCCTCAGCCCACCATCTATGCGGTGTGAGCTCTGCAGGACTGCCATCCTCCAGCGTCACCATGGCTGGAGTTTCCCATGACTCCGCCTCCATCCTCTAAGCCCCGGACTCCGCCTCGGCCCGTGGACCCATCGGCTCCACCATGGCTCCTAGCTCCCTCCTCTCCGCCATGGCCCGGCAGTCCACTAGCTCCGCCAGGCTCCCTCGTCCCTCCGGCTCCACCTTGGTCTGGCGTTGACCATACTTCGCCTTGGGACTCCACTCCTCTGGCTTTGCCTCATCCCTTCGTCCCTCCGGCTCCGTCAGGCTCCTTCATCCCCTCGGCTCCTCCTCAGTCCTCTGTCGCTCCGGCTCAGTCCTCGAGTCGGCGGCCATTCCTCCTCCATGGCTCCTCAGTCGGCTCCACCGTGGGTCGCCATCATGGCTGTGGCCTGGGTCCTGCTTAGCTCCTCCTGTTCCAAGTTCTTTCCGTTTCCTCCCTGGCTCCTCCCTCCGTCTGATCCGCCCTGGCTCCTCCTGTTTCCTCCCTGGCTCCTCCCTCTATTGTCACCTCCCTGGTCTCTGTCTGCCTGCCCCCTCCCGGGTGTCCGTCCTCCTCCTGAGTCACCTCCCAAGTTACTACCCGTGCCCCCCCTCTGTTGTTCTACGGCGTGAGGACGCGCCTTCTGGGAGGGGGGCGATATGTCAGGATCATGGACCTGTTTTGTTATATTTTGCCCCTGTATCTGTTCCTGTGCTCCCTTTTTTGGTCATGTTCCTGTCCTCATTTAGTTAATTAGTCATTCTGTGCACCTGTGTTAAGTAATTATCCCTTGTATTTAAGTTCCTGTTTGTTCAGTCTTCCTTTGTCGGGCCTACTCGTTGTGAACGTCTTCCTTTTGCTCTGTGTCTCCCTGTTGGATTATTAAAGACTCTCGTTTTGTGAAATCTTCTTGTTTCCTTGTTCCCGTACTCCAGCGAATTGTGACAGGTACCTGCAGTTTGTACAGTGCTATACACTAAGTTTTCTATGAAAACACAAAGGTAGGTTTCTACATTAAGAAGGTGATAGGCTCAAGGTCAAAACATTATCAGAGTAACCAGGTTTTTTTTCAATTACTATATTATTTTTATATTAATACTAAGTACTGAGTAGCTTCAAAGTTTTTTCTAGTATGACTTTGAATTGAGGTTTCTAAATTTGAATTGAGGCCCAAATGGTAGTTATCATAAACTCCACCTACTATACATGAGTTTCATCCTCAATAATCTTGTCAAAATAAAAACCACTGGTCTGGCTATGTAGCAAACAGAAGTATAAACTATTTTTCTGCCTGTGGCTGGATGCAATATTTCCCCTAAACCACATGACAGAAAATGTTTTGGCAGCCGTCTTGTTTGTGTTAATTTAATGCTCATGGATGTGTACATTTTATGACAACCAACATAACTACAATTTGTAAAACCTATACAACACACACAATCCAACATGTACACACATATTACCTTGGCAGTGAGTGCTGTTAAGTCTCTTGTATCCCTGAGGGCACGTGGAGCCAAAGTCCTCTACTATAGTCTGGTGTTTCCCAGCATCTGAATGAGAGAAATTCAGACAAATTATTAATCACTTCTCCTAGAAAAAGCATCTGTACTAGCTGCTTTGTTTGTTTGACTAAGCCAGAACATGAAACTATGAAACATCACACCAATGAAGGGAATGTAAAACAAAGCGAAATAAAAATGAAAGTGGTGGAAGACGTTGAGAAAATTGATGAAAGAAGTGTCTGTGAGGGGATTTAAGTCCAAGAGAAACTGGTAGCATGGTGTGCTGTGTGTGATGTGCTTCACTTCTATGTGTGTGAGAAAGTGAGAAAAGGGCCTCAGTGGGAACATTTCTCTGAAGCTGATATTTTCTCTTCTGTATAAGAACATGCGAGAACAGAGACAGAGTGGCTTTCCAGAAAGGCTTTTGCCAAAGCCAACATTTTTTCATCCTTTTTTCCAGCCTTCACTTTTGTCTACTTTTACTGCAAAGGGTGTGTCATTGGAAAATATGGTGATGTTGCTGAGGCACGAAGACACTCGCAGACATTTACACACACTCGAACGCAAACACTAACGCACATCCACTCACACACAGAAGCGTTCACCAGGCCAGGATCACTGTTTGACTGAGCTCTGAGACATCAAATGAGTTACAGAGAGAAACCGGGAGTGGAAAAAAGCTTTTTTCTTCTAGCCCATATTGAAACTCAACTCCAAGACTGCAATGACACATTCCCACCTGTCAAGCTATGACAGTGTGAATTTATAAGGAAAAAGTAGAGTGAGATGAACTGTTATTTTTTAAAGAATTAGTAATGAGAAGGGGTTGTTTTTGGCTGGACAGACACTTTGGTCACTTTGACAGAAACAGTAAGATGCAACTCCCAAAGAAAAGTTAAATTATATAACAGAAATTATTTGAACTTACAAGGTAGTAATGGGCATTTGTAACAATTATTTTGGCCCCAGGAATTACCCACACTGCCACAGCAGTCTTCCTGATTGGTCAAACCAGGGAGAGGGTTACTACTACACTGTAAAAAGAAAGAGTAATAATTAGAGTGTTGTTAAATAAGAAATTCATATGCAAATCAGATTTTGTGTATCATCTCATCTACTTTTGTCACTCACAGCCTGTTTGGGTGTGGTTTCCTGGAAGCACCTCCCCTTTGGCTTGTGCGTCTGTGGAGGGAGGCGGGTCACAGTCTTGGCACTGTGAGGCTTGTTCTCTGATTGGTCGACAGAATGAATGACAACTGAAGTGTCTGGCGTGTGAACAACACGAACATTGACCTGCACTGGAAAGATACAGTCCAAAAAGAAGGAAATGCAGTTATTTTTAAATAACTTTTTAATAACAATGAAGGTTAGAAGCATTAAGCATGAATATACGATTTGATATCACAAATTCTAAAAAAAAGTGTTATTTTAGTATTTATATACTATAATAGAATTTATTAATATTTTGAATTAGATTTTATTTTATTTGATTTTAGTTTTAAATTATTTTTAAATGATAAAAATTATTTTTACTATACAATAACAACACTGTAAAAAACACATTTATATTGACCATCATCCCAGACTGAGCTATAGACAGACAGAATGTTATAGAATGAGCTTTAGTTACTCTTTTGATAATTATTTCTGCATGGAAAAATTCTCACATCAGTTTTTCATGTGTACACAAGTATGTGAATGAGACCACATTTCAGTCAAATTAAAAGTGAAAATGTCCTGTGTGCCAATTACCTTCAGAAGAGTGATGTCCAGTGCCTTGCAGAGTGAACACAGAGTGTGTCTGTGTCATCTGCTGCCGCCCACCTGTGCCACCTGGCTCTGACAGACTCTGGGACTCAGGCATCACCTGGAGGAGAGATATTCTCAGTTAATTATTAATCTAAAAAAATCAGCACAAAACCCTCAAGAAACCCTCAAGAAACATGAAACATATTCAGTATCCACCTTATTTTGCAACGCGGAAGTAAATACGATGATGTACTTCCTTATAATGTGTTAAAACTTCTGTTTCGCTAGCCAGTAGGTAAGGAGCGTAAGGAGCGATGTGGTGGGAATACACAGAACACTATTAAACACCGTGATGGTAAATATTTACCACACCCATGGTGTATAACACAGTGGGAGGATGAAATGAAGAAGTGGCCTCCCATAACTTATAAAGACATTTTTCATTATTTCGTTTGGTCGCTTGGAGTAGATGGGTCTTCGATGTGGAATTATAAAAGCACTGAGGCATATCAGTACCTGCACAGCGGAAAAGTCGGTCGAGTGCTGGTACATGAAACAGAAAGCGAATTCATGTTTTTAAAAGCAGACGTGAATCCCAGTACTGTTAGGCGATTGCATTGAGGATTTAGGTAACTGGTAAATGACTAATGTCTCCTTTTTCTCTTTCATCTGTGAAAGCACTTGTTGATAGTTTTGAAGTAGTAATGAAATATGTTTTGGTCCTTATCCGTAAACTGATTACAATACAGTAGTGCAGAATTAGGGCTGATTCATTTCATCCAAAATAAAAGTTATAAATAACTAAAATATATGCGTGTACTTTTTAATATATATAAACAATATATATATATATATATATATATATATATATATATAACTTTTTTTGGAATCAGGTTTGTATATATATAATAATTTATTCATTTATATAACTTTTTATTTTGGATGCAATTAATCGTTTGACTCCCCTATTCAGAATGTTTTCCATTTGTTCCATGAGTTCTGAAAAAGTGACAAATTGACGATTATTTACCTAGCATTGCTAAACTGTATCATTTTCAGTGGGGGAAAAAAATCTAAATAAACTGCACCTTGACATTTTAATTGTGTGTTTGTGTGTGTGCATATATAAGGAGAAAGAAGTAATATAAGATCTTGAAAATATTTGTGTAAAAACAGTATATTTAATGGTCACTGAATAATTCCAAACAACTACACAATGTATCCAAAATTACTACACCATTCTAAATTTCCTATAAATGCCATGGAATGTAGACTCACATGTGCTCCTCCCATTGTATCAATCCAGTAGGAGATAATTCAGCTTACTACACTCTGGGATACATCAAAGCTTTCGGCAAGATCTCCTTGAAGTAAATTCAACTTCAGCTTCATCATGGTCATCAGAATTTGATCCATTATGTGCATCTTAAAATTGGAAGTGTAGAATTGCTGGAGATATTTAACATGTTCTTTAAAGACACTAAGGGTGAAGCCAGTGTACAATAAAGAGCTAGTGTCATTCTTGAGAATGGCAAGGGCTAAGGGATCTTCACTGTGGAACTGTGTTGCCTGGTGTAACATTATTTTATCCCCTGACTCATAAGTGTGGTCTGTCAAATCCTGGACCTCCCATTGAGTGCAGGCATCACTGTACTAAAGGGGCAGCTGCAATGGCTCCGTTTGTGCGGTCTCATGGTCATCTTGCTCATCATCTGCAAAACACAACACTGAAGTCAGTCAGATGCTTAGGAGAAACTGATAAATTCTCCACCCCCTATTTACAAAAAGTATTACAAAAAAAGTAGCAAAAGTATTTTGTACATGGCACCATGGTGTTCCAGTCGCAGTGCAGTGATATTTTTATTCAATACAATCACAATACTTGGCTTTAAGGGATAGATCACCCAAAAATTTAAATTTTCATCATTTACTCAACCTCGAGTCGTTCTAAACCTGTATAAATTTCTTTGTTCTACTGAACACAAAGGAGGATATTTGGAATAATGTTAAAATACAAACTATTCTTGGGTCTCATTCACTTCCATAGTATTATTTCTTACTACTATGGAAGTGAATGGGACCTAAGATTTGCTTGGTTACAAACATTCTTCGAAATATCTTCCTTTGTGTTCAGCAGCAAAAAGAAATTAACACAGGTTTGGAACAACTCGAGAGTAAGTAAATGACAGAATTGTAATTTTAGATATCCATCTATGCGCTTTTTTGTAACAGTTTTCTACTGTTATCAACAACTTCAGCTTAGCACTAAATAGTATTCATGCCCAATAGGAGTGTCATTGATAAAGAAATAGTTTAAACAATGTCTTTTGTTAGAGCACGTAACTTAACAAGAAGCTGTAACATACCTGTTTGTGGATATATCCTGAAGAGACATCGCCTCGGAGTCTTCACTGGAGCATCGTTTCTCGGGGAATGGATGATTTTCCGTGGGTCTGCCATCAACGAAGTGGAAAGAGCAAACATACGGAAATTTCGGTGGTTTCTTTAAGTTTAAGGCTTTTAACCAAAGCCGACGAGCTTCTTCTCCCTTTGGAGGGGCGTGCAAATCATAGGGTGCCCCACATTCACATTCATTTTTTTTATTCATGTGTAAGCTATTGCTTCTGACCTTCAAATAAAAAAAACTCATGATTTTATGAGATTGATACTGCTTTATTTATTCAGAAACACAAGTTTCTTAGTGATGTGTATTTTACTTTCATTTTGTAACAAGTAGGCCAACAGCGTCCCTCTCTATGTAAATAAAACGCCTTACCAGACAGGCATTAGGACCCGTTGGAGGCTGCCGCTGCTGCTACTGCACGCGCTAGTGACTGTTGACTCTGTCACACACCGAACGCATCATCTTGTACATGCATTCTCAAATTAAATGCAGTGATCCAAAACAGTGAATCTAATCATCATTCAGAGAAAAGTTTGCTTCAAGAATGACCACACTGCTGATGTGATCTAATCGCTAGCACACCCTGAGCGCGTGTGAGTTAATCCTCTTATCGGCATATTTTTTCATATCGGGCCGATGCGATATTTGCATTTAAGACATTATCGGCCGATTCCGACATCGGTCCGATAATATCGTGCATCCCTAATTCAGTATATTCTTTCTATCACAACTGGTTCTGCACCATCAGTTTGTCTGTTTGGAATCAAGATGACAACTGTAAAAAAGGGTGCATTTACAATAAATCAGTGAAAAACAGTGTGAAGGAGACACTCACCTGTACACTGTAGACGGGCTGCTTGTTGCCTCGAGAAGCTTGAGTCCGAAGTGGGAATTGGCAGAGGCGTCCGGTGAAGCCTGGTGGACAGAGACAATGTGTGCGGGTACTGCATACTCCTCCATTCATACAGGTGAGAGGACACACCACTGCAAACACAGACAGATTACAGATTAGACATGACACATCGGGTTTGACAATATTTAGATATTACAGTCAACATAATATATCATATAGTTTATATATTATTATATATATTATGATATATTATTTTATATCTTGTATAGTTTACATATAAATTAACTATACAATGTAAATCAATCACATACATTTTTACATATATAGAGCATTAATACATGACAATCACATCATCCACTGTGATTAAACATACTAATTATTTATGAGGGCAGACTGAACTTTATTTTTCGCTGTCACAAAAGCACAAGGCCTGGTTTAAACATGGATTCAGCGTATCTGCTTTATATTGTGGCGTGTCAGACTGTGGTCTGGTTAGAGTGCTCTTATGTGGGCTGAAATATCAAGCCAGGCTTAACCAGATCATTCTGGAACACTGACATCATTATTTAATACCAGCTCATGGTGGTTTCAGAGGGAAAAATCTAGTGTCTTTCTGTTACTGTGTTCTACTCTGTGAAGAGCTACTCTATAAATTATTCAAGAGTATATTTAGTGACACCTGATATAAAATCATAGTTGATGATTTAACATAAGAGACATTACTGACAGCAAGCATGAAAACACAATTTTTAGAGTTTCTATAGTTTATAGTATAGATTTTATTTTATTAAATAGTAAATGTACTATTTGGAAAAAGTAAAATCCTACATACAACATGATAAAAAAATGTTTTACTTATTTTGTAAAAAGAAAAAAGTATGCTGTAGCGGTGTGTAGTACTACACTGTACTCATAATAATAGCAATGCTTTTTAATAGCAAGACAATGAACGAGCTAAATCTAATCTCAACTAAAAAACAAATATCCATTAAATATCTGTATCTAAAATCCTGTAAATCACACATGCAAATTTAGACTTCTAGCCTATAATCACCAATAATTTTTATTTCAACATATTTATTGTAACATTAAGCTCCTAGTTTTAGACTTAATATGGAAGAAAATGTTGTCAGGAACACATTCAACACAATTTACAAACAAACATAAAAGTAAACAATTTAAAAGCATTTTAGAAAGGAAAACAAGCCACGATTGAGCCAACGACCATGAAGTTAATGCAGCAGCACTGTAAAGATCTTGACAGCAGATGTGCAAAACAATACAGAAATCCCAGATTGGACAACCAGAGGACATTTTGAAGAGCACAAAGGCTGTGATCAGGCTGGCAGTAGCAAACTGTGGCTCGCCTGTAGCTTGATGAGGACAACACACGGAAACAATTACAGCTGGCCGGACTCTGTCTGCATGCGTATGACTACCACCCACACACGCTCACACTGATTCAAGCTTCCACACCACCAGCATTCTTACTTTACATAAAAATAGGTTGACTTTATATAAATGTGCTTATGAGAGAGACAGAGAGAGAGAGGGGAACACTTGAAGCAAAACCAAGCTAATAAAGACACAAACAAACAACCTAGTTTCTAGCAAAAACAAAAACAAACAGCCACATGAGTAGAACATGAAAAGTAAAAAGGTTTCTTTCTTACTTTATTGCTATCTTTCTAAATGTCCAGTAATCATAGCAGAGACATCCTGAATGTAAAGTGCCATTCTGTCAGTGAGTGCATGTGTACCGTGAAGCTTTAATGCCTATGTGGGTGTGTAGGGTGTACACTGTGTAGGCTGTGAGTGATTTTCTGTATGGAAGCTTTTGTTTTTGCCTATGATGTGCAGATATATTCATAACCGTGTGTAGATTTGTGTGTGTGAAGCTGTCTGTGTGTGTGTGTGTGTGTGTGTGTGGGAATGCCTCAGTGTGTCTGTGCTTGCCGAGTTAATTGCAGTACTCCAGACAGACAGAGGTTTCAAAAATACAGCTTTAGACTTCACTACACCACTAACTCACACACATACATGTGACTTTTCCCAGCAGCATTTAGTTCACAGGGAATGTGGTGCTTTTGTAGTATATCTTCCTCTCTTATACCCAAAATTTTAGTTTGATTGTCTAAATCTAATCTTCGACTAGCTTTTTTTTGCTTATAAAATATTTACTTTAATCTCAGAAAGGCCAGAACACTGACAAAAGCTCTAGAAATCTTACAACATATCGGTGTGCTTATGATTTCTGAGGAATGTCAAAATACTTTCTTACTCTTTGTCTGAGCTAAAGAGCATGTTAATGGATTTAACAGACCCAATATGTGTGCGTGTTGATGGGTGGGGTGTATACGATAGATGGTTTTCTGCGGGTTAGTTGGGGGTGTGTCTGCTGTGCTCATCTAATCCACTGCCTGTCTGAAAATCACTATGTATTTACAGTAAGAAGCTGAAAGCTTCATATCAGCTTTCTCACACCTCAGTATAAAAAGCAAGCAGCTGAATCCATAAACCTGCCACAGCAGTGGATAAATCAGCAGGGTTCAAATCAGGTCCTTGAGCGGCTTTAATCTGAGACACGCAAGGAAAATAAATAACCTTTTACAGATTGTGTTCTTAAAATGTCTTTGCTCACCAGTTAAATATTTAAAATATTTTTATTTTTGTTCTGGCCACCATATTAGTTCATTCTAGTTGATGCAACATAATATATTGTCGGGGAAGGTCAAACTACTCAATGTAAATCACATAAGAGTGAGCGAACTTAGCCTCAGACAAATGCCAGCTAAGAGCTCATTTATAAAAGCATCCTGTGCCAAGACAAAATTACATATGAGATGTCTTTAATATGTCATGTCTTACAGCCAGCCATATGATTAGAGAGCAAACTACGAGTTTTGCTTTAAATTTCTCATTGAGGTAAAATAAACAAGTATCTCGTCCTCTCCATCGCAATAATAACTCCAATTTAATAATAACTCAGACTATGCTCAGATTTACCAACATACCAAAGTCTGCCATCAAGTCAGAAGTTTCATTAAAATCTCAAAACATTCTTAGCAGATTCTAAATTAATGTAAATGATTCGTACCTAAGTCTCTATTCAGGGCTGGATTGCATTTTCCCGGTGGGCCGACGCACCTAAGGGGCTGACAGCATTTTTTTATTTTTTTTTTGCCAAGGACCATCTCGCACGGACAGCGAGCAGCCAGTGGCCCATTGGTTTGTCTCCTGTATTGACAGCGTAAACCATCTAATCACAATGCGCTATAGACGGAGCGATTAAGTATTTTGCTCCGCCTAAATAAAGATCGCTTCACCCCAACTTCTTCCTAGTCGGCTTTTCCCACGTTTTCACAACAGATTTATCAAGAACAGGCTTGCTCTGTGGTGAGTGATGCGGGCCAAAGAGACAGGCAAGAGGAGGAGAGGAGAGTAGTTGAATCTGTAAAGTGCTTGATAAGGACTCGCAACGGAGGCAGGCATCTAACCTATCCTAATGTGTGTGCACGCCATGAGTGTAGAATACATAACAGAGATGAGCACTCGAGTTAAGTGACTCGGACTCCAGTCGCCTTTTTATAGACTTCAGACTTGACTCAGACTCGACATGAAAGGACTCCAGACTTGACTTGACTCGAGAAAAAGGACTCGTGGAAATTTTAAAAGCAACTCGAGTCTTTTATCCTTAAATAACTGATATTCAAAAGGCGGACCGCATCCACCCCCCTGTATCCATCCGGACCGCGAGCCGTAACACGGCACCATTTTAAGTGAACGGCGCGTTAAAACAGCGGAGCGGATCACATAACAAGCGCTCAGGGTCGTTTATAGTAAATATCTTTCAGCGCTATATCCTCTAGTATTTTTATCAAAAGCCAAACGTGCTTTATTCAAGCCATTTCAGCTCCGTGCGCTTTCTCTCTCTCTCCGGACACGCGCCGGCGCCAAGTCCAAGAGCTGCAGATGATTTTAACTGCATTATTTTAACAACAACAGAAACAGCAATGCTGCAAATATAGTTATTTTTCATATGATCTATTTATAACCTATGACACTGACTGTTCAAACCAGATGTGACAAGACGTTTCTGATCTACATTTAGCATTATTAATCTGTAGGCTAAGAACATTGCAAAAAAAGAATCATGTCATTATAATTGGGAAAATTGTTGTTAGATGGCTGGGATAGGACTTAAACTTTGAAATGGTTAGTTATCTTTATTTTCTGCTCAAGATGAGAACGTTTTGATTATTGTAATGTAGACTAAGAACATTGCAAAAAAAGAATCATGTCATTATAATTGGGAAAATTGTTGTTAGATGGCTGGGATAGGACTTAAACTTTGAAATGGTTAGTTATCTTTATTTTCTGCTCAAGATGAGAACGTTTTGATTATTGTAGCTACATTGTTTTTAGATAATGCTTTTAAGTAGGCTAAAATATTAAAATAGTACAGATTTCAGGAGGAAAACCCTGAACAGAAACAGTATTTTTTTTGTGTCACATGGCCTCGCATGCATCTAAATGTAAAAATGCAATACATGTAAAAAAAAAATAAATAAATAAATAAATTTTTTGTTCGGACCTCTGCTTGGAAGAAAATATAGAGGCCGCGCCTCTTGGAACTTTAATTGAATACCCCTGACTTATATAATAAAGAGATACTTTATTTGTATGGTTTTGTAATATCTGTGTCACATATTTTCTTGTGTGGAACATCAGACTCTTATTATAGAATTGCACTACAGAAAAACAGTTTTGAACATGGTAATGGATTAAAACATAGCCTATAAATAACAGGCTGGATGTACAATAACCTTACATCTTAAAACCTCTTTTTTTTATATAAAGAAGATCATAGAATATTTTTTCTATAGCCTATAAATCAGCTTCGTAAATAAGAAAGATTTCAATACATGAGGATTCTAAATGAGATTTTTTTTTGCGAGCCATTAAATGACTTGAGACTCGACTCGGACTCGTGACCAAAGACTAGAGACTTGACTCAGACTCCAGTGATAAAGACTTCAGTCTTGACTCGGACTCCAAGTTAAAGACTTGTGAACATCTCTGATACATAAACACTTTTTAATAAAACGTAAATTTGTCCCCCGTGCTTTTT